GGTGAAGTCCGGGCTCCGGGCCTTCCCCCTTCACCGGTTTTCAGAGCCTCAGTTCCAGCCCAAGCAGAAATGGCTACACTGCTATCTCTAGCCCTGTACCGTGAGCCCGAGTAAGTTCACCCAGACTCTAAGACTTGCTCCCCAGGGGAGGGGGGTTTGCGGTGTAGACGTACCCTAAGAAGAGGCGGTTTAATGACAGTGCTGGCACTTCCTGATCACAGTCCACCTGCCAATATGGCGAGGCAGCCATTCTTGTGAGATTTCAGATCTTCCATTTCCATTTCTAGCTAGACCCCAGAAGCGATGAGGTGCAGTGAAAACAAAAAACAATTCAGTGGGGTGGAGTTCCCTCAGCTTTTCAAAACCTTCAAAAAGACTTGGTTGATTTTAAACTTGGGACCAAGATTTGGGGGATATCTTCTCCCTAGCGGAAATTCCAGTAGACTTCATAGGAATCCTTGAACTGGTCTTTCTCCTCCTCTCTCTTGATGTCTTCTGGTCTGTGTAGATTTCCACTAGAGATTCCTGCACTCCTGGACTGTGTATACGTAGCCAGCACTGAAATGCAGCCCCGTCTCGGTTTGACTGTGACAGTCATTGGGCACTAGCTACACAGCACGCCTGATTAGCACAGCTACGATAATGCAGTAGGGCAGGGCTATTCTTCCCATTTTACAGCTTGGGAATGGAGAGACTGAGAGATTTGCCCAAGGTCACCTGTGGCCGAGTGAAGACTAGAACGCAGGCCTCCTAAATTACTACCCTAACCACTGGGCCATTCTCTCTCTACGGCTACTGTGCTTGTCCTCAGCTGGGAATGTCACCAAGGTGCCCGCTGAGATAGTGGGGTCTGTGTTCCAGAGGGTAGAGTGGAAGGTGGCTAATGGAATCCTAGAGCTCTGCCTTGCATCCACCATCCACCATTCCACAGAGGGGACAGCAACGGAGTTGCAGAATTGTCTGCTTTTCCCTGGTCTAGAGGTGGGCCCGAGTAGAAATGCCCTTTTCCTGTCACTAGAGCACAGTGGTTTACATGCCAGGCAGGAACCAGACCAGATCCATCTAGTCCAGTATGTTGCCCTCATCACTGGCCAGTACCCGATGCTGCAGAGGAACGTTCACGATACCTTGCAGAGGACAGTGTTGGAATGATTTGCCCACAGAAGACGTCTCTCATTCTCCCCTTCAGATAGTGGCACACATGCGAGAACTCAACAGAAGTTCCCATGTCTCTTTGTTTTTCTGTAGGACCTGTGAGGCCTTTGTGTCCTGCATGCTGGGGCAGATGGAAAGGGCAGTGCTTCACTGCACGCAGGTCCCTGCCCCGTTCCTGCATGACACTTCATCTGAATATCTGACCCACGTTTGATTCCTAATATGGAAAGGACCCAACAGCTGCAGCCAAACCACCTCTGGCCATGATCTTTTCATATCGCACAGAACAAGCAGTTCTGAGCTTTTGGGAACCCGTCTCTGAATGGATCTCCTGATGTAGGACACTGGGGGGTCCAGCAATTTGTGGGACCTTTTTGGATTGAGTGTGGGACAGTGTTCTCTGCTGATGTGTATATGCATTAAGCAGTGTCCTGCCTCCAGTGCCGACTTGTAAGCAATTTGAGCAGGGGAAAATCAGTTCTTTGGCCCATGTTCCCAGAATAAATGCAACCTCTCACTCCTATCCAGTATGCCTTTTGGGGAACTGGGAAGGACGTT